TTCCTTTTTAGTGACATTTTTCATATTAGAACCAAAATTTGTATTGACATTTTTAACAGTATTATTTCTGAAATGTTTTGTTTGCCAGCACTCCAATTTTCAGTAAGAAAATGGTTTTCTGTAAGGTCTGGTCTACACTACAGCAGAAGGTCGAATTAAAATATGCAACTCCAACAACGTTCATTACGTAACTGGATTCACCATATCTCAAATCAAGTCAGTGGGAGCAATGTTCCCGTTGTCTTCCCTTACTCCTCATGAGAAGCAGCATACTGGTGCTGATGGGGGTGTCTTCTGATTTTGATTTAGAGGGTCTTCACTAGACCTGCTAAATTGATCTCGGAAGATTGACCATGGCAGTGTCAATCTTCTGCGTAGTGTAGATGTGGCCTAAATAACAATTTTAAAAATAGTTTAGGTAAAAATGTTGGTTAAAAATAGTCATCTCAAGATAGACAGAAGATGTGAATAATGTCAGTGACCATTTTCTTGTGAATAGATTTGTCTTTGGAAAAAAAGGCCATTTTTGACCAATAAGCCTTTGTGTGCAATAAAATTTGACCAGCTCTATTTAGTTAGACAATTAGTTGATTTATGAGTCTTGTAACAGGACTCTTGAAATTACATGGTATTTTCTCTGTTATCTGATCAGATGACCTAACCCTCTTTCTTTCCCATCTGAAACAAATGTTGTTTCTTACTTTCTGTGAACAGCAACATGAGCATAAATCATGCCAGTGTACAAATGGGCAAGAAAAATCTACCTCTTTGAGCTCCATGATAAAGAGGAGCATAAAAATCCCTCCTGCACTGAAGGATTAATTCATCAATGTTACCAGTTCTCTGTGGATGGTGATTCAGACCTAACTGTCCCTACAAAGGTCAAGAGGAGAAAGAAACAGCAGAGGCAAATGTTCAATGAGCTGGTTCAATTAAACCACCTTTGGCCAGTGGGGCCAACTGTCTTGCCAGGCTTCTGGGCAAAGGGGGGGGGGCACTCATCATGCCAGAAGGGGCAGAGCCTTGGGTGGAAGGGGTGGGACTGGGTCTAGACTCCGCTAGGCAGAGCTACCTGGAGCACGCTGTGTGGGGCTCCGGTGGCAATTTAAAGTGCCTGGTGCTCTGGATGCCGCTTCTGCCACTGTGGGGACAGCCAGGAGTCCTAGGGCCTTTTAAATGGTTAGGCCCCGCTCTCCCAGTCAATGCTGTGAGCAATCAGCTGCACCTCACTGCATGTGCCCTTGCTTTATGTACAGGTCATTTTAGCAATACCGACGGGAAAAACACGACATGGACAGACACCAGCAGAATCTCGCACCCTTGTGCATGGGCAACGGTAAACAAAATATCTTGCAGGCCACACAGAGAACCCCAATGGGCTGCATGTGACCCTCAGGCTGCAAGTTGCCCACTACTGCCTTACCTCAACACTACTGCCTTCATCAACCACCTTGTGTTAAAAGGAGATATGCTTTGTTGTTGCAGCCACGTTAGTCCCAGGATTCAAGAGAGACAAGGTGGGAGAAGTAATAATCTTATTGAAGCAATTTCTGTTAGAGTATGTCTACACTACCCCGCTAGTTCGAACTAGTGGGGTAATGTAGGCATACCACACTTGCAAATGAAGCCCGGGATTTGAATTTCCCGGGCTTCATTTGCATAAGCGGGGAGCCGCCATTTTTAAAACCCCGCTGGTTTGAACCCCGTGCAGTGCGGCTACACGGGGCATGAACTAGGTAGTTCGAACTAGGAAGCCTAGTTCGAACTACCGTTACTCCTCATTTCACGAGGAGTAACGGTAGT